TGCAATTAGTGCAGACCAATCGTAAATCGATATCACGTTTGTCAAGTACAATCGTTTGAAGCAGTCGAAAAAAATTTATGATTCCTTAACACTCATCCGCAATGCGATGCGTAAGATATAGGCTGATAAATGCCAATCAAATCAAATCAGTGGCTAGATATTTGCAATTACATAAATAGAACTAAAAGCAACTAAGACTCCCTGCGTGTGTTATCACTACAAATGGTTTAATGAATTTCCGCAAAAAAAAAACATTTAAACCAACAACTCGTGTGTTATCATCGTTCATTTTAGCATTAGACCATGCAAAACAACTTACAACTGCTCTGTAATTACACATTAAAACAGTCTGCAATCCTACCTGTCGCGATGAAAATGAAAAAAAAAACACGAAATATGTAACGTAATAAATTCACAGTTTAAAAATTAAGCGTAACACCCAAAACATCCTTATGAAATCATTTAGCTGCCTAGATGCTGTACAAACAAGGTAGATACCCCATCACACCAACGCTCCATCGCTTTACCTTGATAATATTTTGCCACATTTAAATGAGAAAATGATGTCGGAATTTTTTAATTAAATACGTTGTGGTGGTCGGACATTCTGTTAGACCATCGCAAATAATTGATATGATGTGTTTACGGGGAGAAATCCCAGTTTCGTTTCGGTTTTTTCTTCGTTACTGTTTCCATATTTGATGTTGTAGTTTTTTTTTGCCCTAGTTTTGATGTTAATATAAACTCACTCAGAGAAAATCAAGATTTCGCTGGAAGCCAAATGTGCGATCGGAATCCAATTCAAATGTCCGTTGGAATCTGAAATTTCATATCTGTATATGAAATTTGTTCAAGATTTTGCTATATAATTTCATTATTCATATTAACCCTCTAGTGCATACGTGAACTTATAAGGTTGGTTCATTTAAACCTTTCTATAATGCGAATCATTGATTATGTCACAAAATAATGTATAACAGTTTTCGTTGGAGAACACTAGCACACATTTCTTTCTCATAAAAATTTTGTGTGCGGTCAACCAGTGTCAAGTTATGACAACATTTGTACAAGAAAACGACGTTTCCGTAAAAATAAATTATTTTCGTTTCGTGTCCTGTTTTTGAAACGTGATTAAATCGAATAAAATTATTTTGTTGACCTCAGGAATTTTTTTTCTGCTTATTTGGAGTGTTTTTAACCAAATTCAATTCAAGTTAAATGATTTTTTAAAATTGTGCAACATTTGTCCGTCAATTTGCATACTGTTCTTATAAGTACAGCCATGCAATTTGGATTTCTTTTTGTTTGATATTTTGTGTGCTTGGTTTAGTGTGAAATTTTATTTTCATTTTATTTTAACCTATTTTTATCACAAATAATCCAGAAAAAATGATATTCACGAATTCCGATGTCAAAATCACTCAATTTGCAAGCTGTTCTTATAAGTACAGTTATGCAAATTCGGTTTGTTCATATGCTTCGCAATTTCCATATTGGTCGTAAATGCATGACTGTACTTATAAGACCATTTTCATTTTTGCGATTTATTGATCATTCCAGCATTATACCAGATAATGAATATTTTTTTAAGTGCTTATGAGGTAAAATAAGCATGGAAAAAAATTCCCAGCTTTGTATAAAATATATGCATTAGAGGGTTAAAATGATTTTTTACTACGTTCTATACCATAACTTTGTTATATAAACGATCATCGTTTGAATAGTTTATTAAGATGAACACACCAAATATAATGTAAAAGAATCTAGTGGCATATGCTACTAGTAGGCAAGTTAAGTTACATCTGCTAATAAACGAACAAAAAATTTCGATAAATGAATGATATTTAAATGAAATACTGAAATTGAGTGATGGTCGGCGGTCGTTCACGATTCTCGCGATGCTGATAAAAGATAGAGGTTCGGTGTCTTGGACAAAGTTGTAGTACTTGAGGCCTTCTATACTTTTGCCAAAGACAATTATCTGTTATCCCTTATCAGTTGGGCGCAAATCAAAAACACAGGCCTATGGCATCTTTTTTTTTCTTAAAATTTTTCGCGTTTTTCGCAAAACTGATAAGAGATAAGAGATCAAACACACACAGAGAGAAATGAGGTTACGTTGAACGTGATCGGAAAAACCGAACATAAGTTGTATTTTAATACTTTTTCACATTTTGTGGTGTCCAACTAAACCTCATTTCTCTCTGTGCGATTTTTTGTAAACTCCCAAAAAGTCGATAATTCAAAAAAGTTTATCACCTCTGGAACATTTCGATTAACTATTCCGAGATTCTATTATAGCTTTTATTTGGAAAATTGCCCGTTCCGCAGAACATTTTCAACAATGTTTGAATCTTCAAGCATTTTCTTTTTTTGGTAAAAATCATTCGTCTTTTGAAAAATGCTTTGCGACATAATGAATCAGAATGCAAATTCTGATGGCCGTTTAACGAAACATTAGATTAGAAAATTGGATGTGTCATCAAATCAAGCTAATATCATATTTTGGTCAAAAGTGCAAATTCGAACATTTCCCTGTATTTTTGAGAATGTATCACAATGCCCATAATGACGTTTGGGACTTGAAAAATATTCTCGCGTTATTGCCGGAATTTCGACAGTCGGCTAAAAGACCAACAATCGATTTATAGTCGGATTACTTGCGGAAATATAGAGAAATTTGCGGCTCCTCCGCTTGCAACTTGACATATGTAAGGCCTTGTTAAGGTCCTATATTTCATTCGTTTTGCATTGGAGGGGAGCGCACATCGAAAATTTGCACAAAAGCGCAAACTGTAAATGAATGTTGATTATCAGGAAATTCATTCGTTTGAGCTATTATTTTGGTTTGTGTTCAGTTTTCAACGAAGCTCTTGTTGTGATACTGAAAAAGGACTACATCAATTCTTTTAACCCTTGAAATGTGAACTCATCTTGAACAGGAGAAGCAAATAGCTTTATTTTATTCCTTAGCCTCTTAGCTACGGAAGTGCGTGTATGGCATATGCCAGCATTTTTTATGATTGGCAAAGAGTTTTAACGTTAGACTTTGGACTCCCATTTTCGCGTATCCTTGCCATGATTGTACGTTGAACTCATGTTCTCTCGACATACATGCTGCATTATTGAATCATTTGAAAAGACATAGGAAAATAAGGCCAACGAATCAAGTTAAAATTAGAACATCAAATAATATATATTCCATTCCATTCCATTCCATTCGGGATTGTGCAAAAACAAAAATCCTCTTTCAAACACCCTTGCAAACACCATACCTGTCCTTTTATATCGTGAAATTAAGAATTTAGTCGTAACAAATAGCACGGGCAAAACATTGTGACGTCATACCTAAGCTCAAGCTCAAGCTAAGCAACATAACGAATATAGGACATTATCACGGTTTACTCAAGTATATATTTAATAGAACGCGATGGATGTACTTGTACATATTTTTAAATAAATTCGTGAGCTATAACATTTTTTTTTTTGTGCACCATCAATGTGAAATGTGTGGATAAAAGTGCTTTTTCCCATTTAAAATCACGGCTTCAAGTTCTTAGCAGCGGGTACAGTTGTCTGTTGTTCCCGTCACATAGATTTGTAAATTTGCAAATAGATAGATAAAGAGATTGTGGATTTTTGAATGTTTCCACTTCCAATAGATCGAAACTCCTTTCATATCTGTTGTGTGTTCGTGTTTCATCTGTGGAACTAGAAAATACGGCTTACCTGTTTGTTACATCGGTGATGCTGCGATTGTTGTAGAATGGATGATACTTGCGAGGGAGAGAGTACACTGATTTTTACAAAATCAACGTGTCGACGAATTATCCATGAATTTTCTTTGAATTGCTTTCCATGTTCTCTGCGATTGCTGTTGTCTTGATGGTGGTGATAACGATGCTTCTGAAGCTCTCGAACCTCGGTATTGTGCTTGCTTTTTTTCGCAGTGTTCATACACATGAACGTGGCATGAGGAAACATGATTTTATCACCTTTTGCTCTGAGAGTTTACGGCCAAGTGTAAGTGTGTATTAATTTCATTGCTTGCTTGCTCAAATTGACTTGGAATACGATAAGGAAAAATTGGATATCTTGATATACACGCTACGACATATAATCCTTTCGAAAGGTGGCCGCGTTTGTTTGTCTGTGGCTAAAAATTTATAACATACAAAAGTTAATTAAATTTATTTCAGGATTTTCGTCTTAGAATTGATTGAAGTTTGTTTTTATTACTTATCGCTTACTTTTCTGTTGTTTAAATTTAACGGTTCGGGCGATCCTATCAAACAGGTAGGCGTGAGTTAATTTTCCACCATTCGAATTGCAGTCACATCTTACTGGATACACTGTGATTACGTTTCATGTTTACTAGAGTGTTCTAAATGTATACGTTTGAAGTTCTATCAATAAGAGTTTTCCATCGAAACAAAACGCTTAAATTTCTTCGGGACAGTTTATGAATCAAGTTGAAGATAAAAGCAACAATGTGGCACCAAATTGTACTGTCTATGGAACATGTCGTAGCACTTTATTATTTACACCTTAATTCATCGACCTTGTTAATTCTATGTTATGAATTTCACTTTCTTTTTTGCGTTCTTCTTTCGATTTTATTGTTTCTTTTGGTTATTTTTTTCTTCGTATTATTGTGTCCTCGCAAAGCTTCCAAACGAACTGAGATTACTTCCGATTCGATCAAACGGTGGAATTAAAAAGCTAAAATCACCATCAACCGCAACTATTTCTTTCGATGCGAGCCGAAGCCAAGAATGTTTCAAGCATTACCGAACAGTTACCATAGAAAACAATGTGGAACTGACGTCCGTTGAATTGTCATTGTATATGATATCCATATATGTAGATGCTTTTGTAGCAGTGCACACTATTTGGCATATTATTATGTATATACATACATTCTATTCTGGAGTAAGTGTGTGTTTAAAGCAAAGAAAATACTTTCGGTGGTATGTGGCGTGTGGCCACAACACTTATATGACACACATTTTTATGTGTTTCAGTTCTTTGAACGTCGTTTCACCCCGTGCCTCAGTTCATCAATCTTCTTCACGCTCAATCTAGTGCTTACCCAAATTAACACGATAAAGACAGCTACAACGAAATTCATAAAATCGGTGCATTCGAAAGGAAAAGGGAGAACTCCACAAATAGACGTATCGCATCAACTCATCCTTCATCCATACTACAAAGTGAAATCCAATCGATAGACTGAAAACAGATCGAAACTATTCCATCTCATGTCGAAATGATGTGGCGGTATAGTTCAGTGTTCATCGCGAGACACACTTCATTTTCAACCTCAAGCGTGCTAAAGCAGAATAAAATTTTCTTGTTCTTTTCAAAATTTGATTGTACGCGAAAAAATTGTCTGAAATAGTTTCATCTAAATGGTATGCAATTTATTGTTCAAACAGACTGGTTTGAATAATAATTCTTGGAATAAATTAGTTTCCGGTTATTCTATCATACAGTATAACGTTGTCGAGGTAAATGCAATTTTATTTTCGAAAATTTCATACCTCAAATCATTTCAATGTGCAGAAGATGCTAGACAAAATTGTTCAATTCAATCCAAAGCTCAGAATTTAATGTTTATTTTGAATTTGCAACCAATCATAATAAGTTGAGACATAAATTTGTATCTTCATGAAATGAGCCGGTGCGTTCATCGACGTTATCCGCTGCGGCAAAATACGAGAAATCTAATTTAAACATATCAACGAGTGTATTTGGCTTTGGAGTCGTTCTGAAATGAATTGAAAATTGCCTAAAATTGACATCATTTAATTTTGAATTCACACATCAACAGAAACAATATTCCATGTACACCGATGACATGAATTACAGTCGTTAAACCGATTCGCTGCGGATAGGTACGTGCTCAGTCAAAACTCACGTAGCACAGTACCGCACGCCTAATGACTGAAGTATATATCACAGTTTGTGAGTGCCTGCGTTCATCACACGGTATTTGTGTTCGTGTTCGTGTTCGTGTTCGTATATAGTCGCAAACGAGAAGTGAAGTGGAGTACTATCATACACATACAAATTATATACACATCTGCATACATTTTCAGTACATCAATATTGCATTGTAAAATCGTTTTGTTTAGCAACGATTGCAATTTTTCTCGATTAGTAAACGGTAAATAGTCTGAAATATTTAATTCCGTCTTTGATTTAACGAAAAAGACACCAAAATCCAATAAATATTTACATAAGTTGTTTACATCATGCGAATTGCCACTGCTGTTGGTATTGCTACTGTCATTGTTAGGTTAGAAGAGTAGCTTTTTGTGTTTGATTTTTTACTTGATTCACTCCAGAAACTCGATGAGAAAAAGAATCAAGCCCAAGCAATCGGACTGAAGTGCCATTCGCAATTTAAAGGAAATAATCAATTTGCATGCAATTAAAATTGAAGACAAACAAGTGGTAAAAGCTAGCAAAATCATTTCCTAAAACAAGAGTAAAATAATAACAATAATAATAATAATAATAATAATAAAAAGAAGAAGTAAAGAATAATTAAACGTAACCTGTAAAGAGTTCTTTGTTGTGCTGTGCGCTATCAAATAGAAAGAGAGTGTTGGTTTTGTTGACGACAACTCATATCCAAACACAATAAAATTGCCCGGATTTTTTGGTCATCATGTTTCAGAATGTGAGTAAAAAAATGCCATCGACATCACGGCCAAGAGTAACTGGTAGTTCCAGTGGCATAGGGCGAATTTCGGCTAATACGCCAATGTCGGAACGCCAACAAATGGCTTTGCTCATGCAAATGACATCGGCAAACAATCAATCAGGTCCGTATTTTCACTATTTACCAACGATTTCCACGGGAATATTGTACAATTTTATGAGTTGAATTCATGCACTTGACATAACTTGCAACATAACATGCAATAACAACAATAATGTTTTGGTGTATAGACGCGGCGCCAGGGAACAGTGGACATGGTCCAGCTCGTTCGCGAGATCGTAACGAACGAGGTGAAACTGCAATGCATGTTGCAGCAATCAAAGGTGATCAAGAAGGTATCAAAAAGTTACTGGAACAGGGAATGAGTCCCAATGTTCCCGACTTTGCTGGTTGGACACCATTACACGAAGGTAATTTGATGTGATATTGCACGAAGGCAATGAATTAAGCATTTTATCATTATTATTTTTTTCTATCGTTATATTGCATGAAGCCTGCAACCATGGTCACTACAATGTTGCATTGACTCTGGTCAAAGCTGGTGCTAATGTGAATGCCCGCGGCCTGGACGATGACACCCCTCTTCATGGTGAGTAGTTTTCATGAATGACTAGCATTCAATCGGAATCATTTTATAAACGTTCGTATTTGTGATCTCAAATTCCAGATGCCGCCATCACGGGACAATTGAGACTTGTAAAAATGCTTGTGGAACGTGGTGCAGATCCATGTTTTAAGAATCGCAAGGGCAAAACACCTTGTGATGTTGCTGCAGCGGCTGTCCACAACTTTCTTATAACTGCTAGAGGTGCGTTTCATCTATATATTTCATCGATTTATATCGCATATCTTATAAAAATTATGCTTTGAATTGAAAAACAATCTAAAACTACACATAATTATTGTAATATAGAAGTGTCAAAATGGGATTACAATTATGTGTGTGTGAGAGAGAGAGAGAGAGAGCATTAAAACTTGAACATATCAAGTGCTTTTATCTTCCACGGTTTTCGTCACATTTTGTGCAGTTAATATAGATTGAAACATGTAGATTCATGAAATAGAATGTTTCCTAAATGTTTAGAATGGCAAGAAATACATTGGGAACATTTCACAATGCGCTACTTTGTTTTTGCCAATAGGATTTTCACTGAACAGACATATCAGCCATATATTTCCAAAGTGTTTCTGTGCAAAAATTTCGACTTTTTACATTCTCAATCGCTGTAAATTTTGAAACTAACAAAAAGTGAACGAATGTCCATAATATTGAATAGATTCAAAGAAGATTTCTTCTTTGGCGAGTGAATGTTGTTCCAAAATTCTGTATACATATTCGAAGTCGGTACTGACAGCGACATCTAGTATGCAATTTATATTTGGTCATGTCGTTTAGATACAGACATTATTTTGCCACAACATAGTTGAATAGCTTTTCATCTCGAAAATACATGGATCACTTATATCTTGCGGTTCATTCTATGTTTTGTCCAAATTAAAGTCAAATATAGATTGATAATAACGAATAAGATAAATGCCAGAATAAAATCATGTTCTTAGTATGAATATAAACATGTAATGGCATTAGTTCAACAGTTAACTGAATGGCGCCTCCATCAAGCTTTTTTTGTCTTCCATTTTGTGAAGAGTTTACACACAGAGACGAGAATATGCTGTGGTATTTGTTGAGTTTTGAGAGTTTTTTTTCCTGCTTCTGCACTAAAATAGCTATATTCGGTTCTCTGTTGCACTTTAATTCACCTTCTCTTTTCCACTGCTCATATTTCCGACAATAGTCTAAAATCCAATATTGAATAGTGTGAATTGTATGTGTAAGGGGAGCGAGAGGACAAGAGTGAGTGTGAAAAGAAGCTGAAATCTGTAGCATATGGAATTCCGTCATGCCCTCAGTTCAGTTTTGGTTGGCGTCAAATCATAAGAAATTGATATAGAATAGTGTCAATACTTGAATGTGAGAGACGTATGTATGCGTGGTGGTCGTTCATCACTCATATCGCTGTTACGTTCATTTTAAAATATCGCGCGTGATACCATTGGCACACGACGACCGACAGCGACAAAGCAGCGAATCAGAAGAATAAAAAAAAAAACCATTGAAGACAAACACGATAAAGTTTTCTATGCAGGGTGCTATGCGACTAATACTGGTGTCGCATCATAGTCTGCGTACGATTTACACTTGCGATATAGATTCAAAGACAAGCAAAACAACCGAACACCCTGTAGATCACCACAATGTGTTTTCGACTGTTGGTGATTGTGTGACCACGGTATAGTAGTGTCGTGAGTGCGGTGTAAGTATATACATGAGCGAATGATTGTGTATTGTGTGTTGTATTGAAAAAAATAAAAAGAACGGAATAACATAACGTAAAGACGGTGTGTGTTGGTGTAAGGTTGCTAATTATCTTTATAGCCGCAGTAATCATTGAGTGAGAGTGGCTTGCAATGGTTGGTTTTGAAATGACATCAAGTTTATTCATACCGAAAGACTAGAGGAGATCCTTTGATTTTTACTTCGATTTCAATTTTGGTTGAGATTGCGTTTTCGGTTCTATTTTTTTTTTCCATAGTTTTTACCGTAATGATGTAATGATCAGTTTGTTTGGTTACATATATATTATTTTTTTTCGAGTGAAAATTTGTTCTTCGATAAAAATTTACTTCGTCAGTTTCTTAATGAGTTGTCAATCAAGCGTGAGTTTTAGCAAGCAAAAGAGGAGAACCAAATAACAATTGAGAAAATAATAATAATAATAATAATATACTCATATGTATATACATATTTAGTTAATTAATAAATGAGTGCGCTCGGTGGTGATCGATTAATTTGTTTAAAATATTTAGTTTGAATCGAGATGGTTTTCTTGGTATATGCTTCGTATTTATTTTTATTATCATAAAAAAAAATCTGTCAAATTTTTCCGCTAGTTTTTCTTCACTGTTCAGCGGCTGAATTTGCGTACATTCACATGCACATCCACATATGCGACATACATCACCTACCTATACATGCACCCATCACACACAGTGTAGCGATCGCATACTGTGGACGGGTGTATTCTGCATACACGCGAATGTGCACATCGCGGTTTGCTATTGCCTTGCCATTAGTTATTACCATTCCTTGGCTGTTTTCTTCTTCTTTCTCTGCTTCGTTGTGACTCTTTTTTTTCTTCTTGCGTGTGCGATTCGTTCATATCTCTCTCTCTCTCTCTCTCTCTCTCTCTCTCTCTCTCTCTCTCTCGTTCGCGGTTACTGATGTATTTAGTGCTAGTGTGAGAGAGAAATCTGACTTACAATTGAATAAATGCTGAATTTCAACGCAGAATTTCGTAGTATTGGACCGTTTACACGAAACAGTGACTCAAGTGAAAATATATAAGAAAAATTGAAGAGAAATTACGAAATAAAGAGAACATATTCTCTCCATATTTTTTTCTTCTTCCAAAATTGAAACTGAGATGGCATACGGTAGCATGCAAACAAATACATGTGCATGTTGCTGTTTTGCTATTATATTTGTCATACTTTGTTGCCATTTACTTGGCACATAAATTATTCTTAGCTCAACTTAGAATGCAAAGGTACAATGATTTGTTAGGCATGAACTAAATGTAAATTAACGAATAAAATACATACACTAGCCAGTTACACAAAAATAGCAATGCTGATTTCCGTTAAACAATTAACTTGTTGATTTTAAAAAAAAAAGTGTTTGATATTACAATGAAAAGCCAAGCTCAAATATAATAAGTTTTTGCGACGACTTCAAAACAAAATGAAAATAATTGAGTATATGATTGACTGGACAGAAAAGCCGACCAAATTTAATGTGGTGTTATTTCTGTTCACGCACGTTTCTTTGCTCTTCTCGCTTTTGGTTAAATTTATTGATACAGTTTTTCTAAATTGTATTTACTCGGACCTAGAACGTCACAACTGGCTTCCGTATACTCCTATACTTCTGAATATAGTGCTTGTGTGCGTTCAGTATATAAACAGAAAAACGAAAACAGAAAACAGAATATTGACCGTCCCAGTGCCAATACATTTATGATACGCTGACTTCTATTTTCAAAACCACACAAACAAATTGAATTCCAATTTCGATGGCGCACACTGTGGCATTTGTATTGTTGCTGTCATAGCTTCGTGCCCATTTTTATGGCTCGTATTCACATACGACGCTTTGTGTCCGAACTTGATTCTTTCTTCCCATAAGATCTCATCCATCTTTTACTGAATCATTTCATTGGATAATTAAAAACGACACATTTTCTACCTTTCTATTGGCTTTTGCAAAGAAAATTCTTGTGTGATGCGATTGACCGCCTCACAAACCCGAATAGAGTTTTTCAATTTATAAATTAGTACAGAGTGTTTAACATTTCTTAGAAAGCCATTTCTGACTCCATTTGACGCAGATACACATGATTTTCAATTGTTATATGGTTTTTAAAAGGTCAATCTCTCTCTTTCTCTCTCTCTCTCTCTCTCTCTCTCTCTCTCTCTCTCTCTCTCTCTATTTGTCGCTGTTCGTCAAGCGTAAGAATTTACTTACGATGTTTTTTTACGTCCATCATGATCGGATTACCAGTGTTAACGCTTATGGAAATGTTGTTTATGTTTCATGACAAACTATCGTTCAATATAGGTCTTCCGTTAGCGTTGTATTACCAATTTGATGTGCATGGCATAAAATTCAATTTTATTGGAAACACAAATTGGACAAATTCGAAATTTATTATCAAAAAAATGGTGAAGTTCCCTCTCTCTCTCTCTCTCTCTCTCTCTCTCTCTTTCTACCAGAATTGTATCTCGCCCCTAGCTATTTATTCTATTTCTTCATTAAAACGGTACCAAAAAAACAAGACTATTCTTTCACAGAAACAAACACGAACACGAATCTGAATGCAAACATGAATACTTCAGGGTGTCAAAAGCATTTGTGCAAAACGAGGCAAGATAACAACAGCTGGGTTATTATTCGTTGCATCAATCATACATAATATACGTTAATTATGAATTTAATGTATAATTCCAAAGCATAACGAATCGTAATTTCGTGCAAATAGCATTTCTTTTTTCCTTCACCGTTCTCTCATTTCACCAAATGGTCAAGCTCACACCCATTATTACACTAATTTTTAGTTGCGTCTAATATAAAGAGTTCGGTATGCCCAATCAATCTTGCTTGACTTGTGGATATCGATTAATAATAAAAGTGAGTAATTTTGCTAATTTTGCAGCTTATTCGAAAAAGATATTACTAAACTCCGCTAATTTCGATTGATACATACTCGAACGAATAGAAAAAAAAAGATAATATTTCAATTGCGAACAACATTTAAAATTAATGGTACAAGCATGCGTTCGCATCCCGTACACCATATTACTTAGCGGGTTCTCATTTAACAATTCGAAACGAATGGGTACTAGTCATACGTTCGAGTTCATGTGGCTACTGCAACATGCATATGCACGTGAATCGAAAACAGATTCCATCGTCGTTGCTGCCAGTACAGCATTATATCGTGTGTGTGAATTGTTGTTTTTATTGCATACATAAATCATTTTCAGTCCAAGTGCGCGTTAACCACATGAAAATACAACTGAATTTGGTAAAACAGTCTGGACAAGATAATACACAGTGAATTGCTGCCTATGCGCTACTGCCTCTATCGCGTCGTCGATTATCTCTCGCCACTTCTGTGTGCATGTGCATGTACATGTGCAGTGCATTGTGCATGCCTTGTGTTGTGCACCGATGTATGCGGATATGTT